TTAAACATAATTACTAAAATAGGGTCGGGAATACAAAGGATTCAAAAGTTTCGATCACGCAAAGGCAAAACTCAAGTTATGGGTACACCCTACATGTAATAGACGTTTATTAACTTACGTGCGAAGATATATAATAATGTCAACGATACATAAAAATAATGTCAACTAACTATATTATACACAACTAAAATTGGTCATTTGTTTACAGTATAGTTAACTAATCTAAAGCTACAATTCTGCTGAAACTTTTGCTTTAGATATGAATTTAAACTTCTGTTATATAATGTATCAATTGAAACTTATTCACTGCATGCAAATCTATACGAGAAAAAAGTCAAAAAACATCGAATATAAAATGTTATAAAATGAGCAATTTTCAAATGTTCAGCTGACAATGAAAAACTCCATCAAAAATAGATTAAAATGCCCCTAACATAAAGTGCAACCTTATTGAATGACTTGTACTAAATAAACTGTCAACTCCCAGGGCACGACAGTCAAACACAGACAGTTCCGGGAATTTATTATTACTTTTACGTGACTAACTCAAGTTTATTACCGTGCATTGTAGTTTAATTTATAAAGATATATAAAGTGCATTTTATATAATTGCGTTCCCATATGTAAGTCTTCTACAGTTGAAGAAAAATAACTCGCTCGAAAGTAACCAAAGCAACTGCACCATGTGGATTAGAAATAATCTTAGCATCGTAGAACTCACGATATTCCGTCTTAGACTCCAGACATACATTGTCCTTTAATTCTCCTGTTTCTGAGAAAATACAAATGTGAATACCTTTCCAGCCAGTTTTAACCAGAATCCGTTTAGTGATGCAATTTATTGCAACAGAATTGATATCTCCATATCCCTCCGGCATCATAACTTTGCGTTCCAACTCGCCGTTCTCCGTGTAGATATCAAAACAATGCCAATCTGCGACAATAATTTTTGTTCCATTATTATCTAGAAACCTTATCGCACGCACTCTGTCAAATAATTCTTCTAGATGAAATTTATTATCGACTTTAAACGAATCCGTATTACATGAAGTTCCGACGTGCAGAATTTGTTTCCCTGGATCTACAACGGCGATCTTTTTGTCATTGTTTACTGATATGGGCATATCACATCCTGACTCAAGTTGAAAAGGCAACAAAGACTCGAGTTTTTTCTCTCCATGTTCATCAAATATTAACAATTCAAAATTCCATACTTGATCATCGTCTTCTGCAAATGCCGTGATGACGTAAAGGTTATCTTCGGCATCGATATCCATCGCAACAACCTCGCAATATGGCAAATCCTCTTGTTTGGAAGGATCAAATATTGTACGGGATTCTCCTGAGGGATTCAAAATTTGAATAGAATCATCCTCCACTCTCGCAACAATTTCTCTTTTGCTATTTACAACACAGCAAGATTCATCAACACCACTGGGAAATGTGAAATCTTGATACGGCGACGTAATATTCACACCAGACTCTTCGTATTTTTGAATAAGGCGACCATTGATGACTAATGGATGGTAAGTTTTCTTTCCAAGCAAAATCCCCGACCAATCAAAAAACACTGTTCGCAAGTTCGTAAATCGTCTGGCAAAATCACACAAAAGCAGATTCATTTGATGAACGGACGAAGAATTGCTCAGTCGCTTCGTTTTATTAAACCGAGATTTAATTCCGCCGTCCATCACAGCAGAAAATATTTCTTGAATAGCTTTGATGTCATGAAGCTGCTTCAGGTATAGCAGGCAATCGCTTACCCCCGCGTCAGGATCTTCTGAATTTTCAAAAATTCTGGCCATCATTCGAACCTGCGTCGCTTGAATTCGGTCTTCGATGGGCAAAGCTTCGTTGCTGAATGCTTCGGTGGCTTTTTCACGAGCGAGTTCAAACGATTTCTTGGCGGACTTAAAGCGTTCCTTGGAATGTATTTTCAATGAATTAAAGGCGTTTATTAAAGACACAACTTCGTTGATTTGAGAAACAGGAACCACTTTCTGAGAAGACGTAGCTCCAGCTGAGGTTGCTTGTTCGGTCGATTCTGATCCATTCTCGGATTCCTTAAACTGCTGTAGCAACTGATAAAGACCATTGATTCCTTCTTGAAGAAAATAAATACTGCTCTGTAAATCCTTTCTCGCCAATCCATCCAACTTTCTCTTAATATCATCGAGTTCTCTCACGATCAAGCGTCGACATTCTTCGTCCGTGACGTCGCCATCGTTTAAACGTTCTGAGATTTTACTGCGAGCCTTGTTCGCTAAAAATCGAAACGTCAGCTTCAAAACTCCGCTAACGATCTCAGTCATCTTGAAATAAATGAAGCGTTCTCCAAAGCAAACGTTCTATTTATTGTTCATGAGACAGTCACAAGATCAACACACCCATTCATCGCTCTGCAAGACTCCGACCATTTTGATTCAAATTCAAACTATTTCATTGTTTTTTTTTTCGCGAAAGAATTTCAACGATGAGCTGTCTTTATGCTGATGATACATACAAAGTTTGAAAGTTAAAATGAATCTAAAATGTATTTCATTGGATTATTAAAATTATATTGTGAAATGATGCATCTAGTCTTCTCTTTGACTGCAAACAGATGATATTATATTCCTTTCTTAGGCCCCATAGCTCCTCAAATTTCAAAATCATGTTTGGTATGCAATATCACGTTTAGACATATCCAATTATCCATAATCATGGTTGATAAAAAAGTTTGTATATATCTGCTGTTTCACTCGAAATATAAATCCCCATATTGATTTTATATCTTTCTTTATTTTTATGGTTTATAAGGAAAAGAGATCGATATAGGTTTAATAAAAAGTTTATGAATGGTTGAAAAATCATATCTTATACTATGTCTCACTTGAAATGTTAAATCCAAATAGTGTTAATTTTATATCTTTCTTTTTTATGGACAGAAAAGAGATTGATATAGGTTTAATAAAAAGTTTATATTTATAGGAGCTGTTTATATTGACCAGCTGACATTCTTGAGATTCAACGAAGTATAAAATGTTTAGGATGTCTTTATAAACCCAGACAACAGATCAATTATAAATCGTGAACAAAAAATCGCAAGAATTACTTCTCGGCAACATTGAGGGAAAGAACTCGTGAAAAAAATTGCCCCAGTCTCCCCACACTTCTCGCCGCCTTGAAACGTCAAACGTGTGCAGGTCATTTCATTTATAAATATTGTAAACACAATTCTGTAAAATATTTCTTTGAGCTGAAGAGGACGGCACCCACGCAAATTGGTTATTATACTAAATAAGCATGGTTGATAAAAGTTTGTATATATCTTATGTTTCACTCGAAATGTAAATCCCCATTTCGAGTTTATATCTTTATATATCTTTATTTTTACGGTCATGTAAGGAAAAGAAATTGATGTATAGGTTTAATGAAAAGTTTATGCATGGGTTGATAAAACCGCGTTTGTATATATCTTATGTTTCACTTGAAATGTTAATCAGAGTATAGTGTTCATTTTATATCTTTCTTTTCTACGGTCGGAAAAGAGATTGATATAAGTTTAATAAAAAGTTTATCTTTATAGAGGCTGTTTATAATGACCGACGTACTTGAGATTCAACGAAGTATGAAATGTTTTGAAGCATTAGGAGGTCTTTATAAACCCAGACAAGCACAACAGATCAATTATAAATCGTAAACAAAAAATCGCAAGAATTACTTCTATTCTCGGTAACATTGAGGGAAAGAACTCGTAAATAAAATAGCCCCAGTCTCCCCACACTTCTCGTCGCCTTGAAACGTCAAACGTGTGCAGGTCATTTCATTTATAAATATTGTAACACAATTCTGTAAAATATTTCTTTGAGCTGAAGAGGACGGCACCCACGCAAATTGGTTATTATACTAAATATAAACACTAAAATATTTAAAGTATTTTCAACTTCCGCTCACGCGCAAATGCAGAACTCAAATAAATTTCAAACTTTGATTGAAGGAGCTCTCAGAAATATGAATGTCAAACAGAGAACGTTGTGACCTGGGTATAGGAAGGAAAATTTAGCCATACTAAACAGTATAAACGTTTCGTTTGTTCACAAGCAAATATGATCGTGATTACATTTGAATGAGAAAAATAAAGAAAAAGAACTTTTTGTCTTCCTGTTTTTAAAACATCAGTCTCTGAAATTATGCAACAAACTTTCAGCAGGTTTTAACGCTGTTTCACTCGCGATTAATGTTAACAACTGCACTATTTGTTATTATAAAGGACAAGACAACAGTTCAGAGGAAATGTCTCTTTGTTTGTACCAGTTTGCACCCTGGACAAGGGCAGATACTTCATGAAAAATTTGCAAGCGAATGTTTGTATGATATATAGCAATTTTGAATCTTTTCTTTACAAATAGTACGATAAAAACAAACTGATTTCCCCTTCTTGCAGCTCAGCGTATAAATACTGACAATTGCGATGAATAAGTAAGGGATATTTATCAACTTGGTTATGAAGATAGTTATGAAGTATATGAACTTGGTTATGAAGATATTTATGAAGTATATGAACTTGGTTATGAAGATAGTTATGAAGTATATGAACTTGGTTATGAAGATATTTATGAAGTATATGAACTTGGTTATGAAGATATATATGAAGTATATGAACTTGGTTATGAAGATATTTATGAAGTATATGAACTTGGTTATGAAGATATATATGAAGTATATGAACTTGGTTATGAAGATATATATGAAGTATATGAACTTGGTTATGAAGATATTTATGAAGTATATGAACTTGGTTATGAAGATATATATGAAGTATATGAACTTGGTTATGAAGATATTTATGAAGTATATGAACTTGGTTATGAAGATATATATGAAGTATATGAACTTGGTTATGAAGATATATATGAAGTATATGAACTTGGTTATGAAGATATTTATGAAGTATATGAACTTGGTTATGAAGATATATATGAAGTATATGAACTTGGTTATGAAGATATATATGAAGTATATGAACTTGGTTATGAAGATAGTTGTGAAGTATATGAACTTGGTTATGAAGATAGTTATGAAGTATACTATACAACTAGCTAAGATTGGTTATAAGTTCAGAGTTCCTAGTCTATAGCCACAATTCTGAAGTCACGAAAATTGAAGAAAAAGTACTCGCCATAGCTTAACCAAAGCAACTGCACCATGCGGATTAGAAATAATCTTAGCATTGCCCAATTCAGTATATTCCACCTTGGACTCGAGACATACATTGTCTTTTAGTTCTCCTGTGTCTGAGAAACTACAGAGATGAATATTTTCCCAGCCAGTTTTAACCAGAATCTGTTTTGTGACGTAATTTATCGCAACAGAATCAAGACCTTCGTATTCCTCGGGCATCATAACTTTGCGTTCCAACTCGCCGTTCTCCGTGTAGATATAAAAACAATGCCAATATGCGACAATGATTTTGGTTCCATTATTATCTAGAAACCGTATCGCACGCACTCTGTCAAATAATTCTTTGAGATGAAAACTATTATCGACTATAAACGAATCCGTTTTACATGAAGTTCCGACGTGCAGAATTTGTTTCCCTGGTTCTACAACGGCGATCTTTTTGTCATTGTTTACTGCAACGCGCACATCATGTGCCGAGCCGTGTTGAAAAGGCAACAGAGACTCAAGTTTTTTGTCTCCATGCTCATCAAATATTAACAACTCGAAATTCCATGGTTGATCATCGCTTTCTCGAAATGCCGTGATGACGTAAAGGTTATCTTCGGCATCGATATCCATCGCAACAACCTCGGAATATGGCAAATCCTCTTGTTTGGAAGGATCAAATATTGTACGGGATTCTCCTGAGGGATTCAAAATTTGAATAGAATCATCCTCCACTCTCGCAAGGATTTCCCTTTTGCTATTTACAACACAGCATGTTTCATCAACAAAATCGGGAAATAGGAAATCTTGATCCAGCAACGTAACATTTACGCTAGACTTTTCGTATTTTATAAGAAGGCTAGCACTTCTCACTAATGGATGCAGAGTTTTCTTCCCAGACAAAATCATGGGCCAATTAAAAAACACTGTTCGCAAGTTCGTGAACTCTCTGGCAAAATCAAACAAACGCAGATTCATTTCGTCAACAGACGAAGCATTGTTTAGTCGCTTTGTTTTATTAAACCGAGATTTAATTCCGCCGTCAATCGCAACAGAGAACATTTCTTGAATAGCTTTGATACCATGAAGCTCCTCCAGGTAGTGCAGGCAATCGCTTACCCCCGCGTCAGGATCTTCTGAATTTTCAAAAATTCTGGCCATCATTCGAACCTGCGTCGCTTGAATTCGGTCTTCGATGGACAAAGCTTCGTTGCTGAATGCTTCGGTGGCTTTTTCACGAGCGAGTTGAAACGATTTCTTGGCAGACTTAAAGCGTTCTTTGGAATGTATTTTCAATGAATTGAAGGCGTTTACTAAAGACACAACTTCGTTGATTTGAGAAACAGAAACAGTTTCCTGAGAAGACGTAGCTCCAGCTGAGGTTGCTTGTTCGGTTGATTCTGATCCATTCTCGGATTCCTTAAATTTTTGTAGCAACTGATAAAGACCATTGATCCCTTCTTGAAGAAAACTAAGACTGCTCAGTAAATCCTTTCTCGCCAATCCATCCACTTTCCTCTTAATATCATCGATTTCTCCCACGATTAAGCGTCGACATTCTTCGTTCGTGACGTCGCCATCGTTTAAACGTTCTGAGATTTTACTGCGAGCCTTGTTCGCTAAAAATCGAAACGTCAGCTTCAAAACTCCGCTAACGATCTCAGTCATCTTGAAATAAATGAAGCGTTCTTCAAAACAAACGTTATATTTATTGTTCATGAGACAGTCACAAGATCAACACACCCATTCATCACTCTGCAAGACTCCGACCATTTTGATTCAAATTCAAACTATTTCATTGTCTTTTTTTCGCGAAAGAATTTCAACGATGAGCTGTCTTTATGCTAATGATATATACAAAGCTTGCCAATCAAATTGGATCTAAAATGTAATTTATTGCATTATTAAAATTATATTTCGAAAAGAATCATCTCGTCTTCACTTTGACTGCATACAGATGATATTATATTCCTTTCTTAGGCCCCATAGCTCCTCAAATTTCATAATCATGTTTGGTATGCAATATCACGTTTAGACATATCCAATTATCCATAATCATGGTTGATAAAAAAAGTTTGTATACATCTACTGTATCACTCGAAATACAATAAAATCCTCATATTGAGTTCGTATCGTTTTGTAAGAAAAAGAGTTTGATATAGGTTTTATAAAAAGTTTATGCGTGGGTTAATAAAAACGTTTGTATATATATTATGTTTCACTTGAAATGTTACTCCAAGTAGTGTTAATTTTATTTTTTTATTTTTTACGGTCGGAAAAGTGATTGATATAGGTTTAGTAAAGAGTTTATCTTTATAGAGGCTGTTTATATCGACCGACATACTTGAGATTCAACGAAGTATAAAATGTTTTGAAGCATTAGGATGTCTTTACAAACCCAGACAACAGATCAATTATAAATCGTGAACAAAAAATCGCAAGAATTACTTCTCAGCAACATTGAGGGAAAGAACTCGGGAATAAAATAGCCCCAGTCTCCTCACACTTCTCGCCGCCTTGAAACGTCAAACGTGTGCAGGTCATTTCATTTATAAATATTGTAAACACAATTCTGTTAGATTCTGGAAGTTAAAATGTTTCTTTGTGCTGAAGAGGACGGCGCCCACGCAAATAAATACTAAAATATTGTCTGGAATACAAAGTATTTTCAACTTCCGCTAATACAGAAGTGAAATAAATTTCAAACTTTGATTGAAACAGCTCTCTCTCAGAAGCATATGTTACGTTATGACCTGGGTATAGGAAGGAAAATTTAGCCCCATTAAACACGTTTCATTTATTCACAAGCATTATATACGATCGTGATTACACTTGAATGAGGCACATAAAGAACTTTTGTCTTCCTGTTTTTAAAACATCCGTTTCTGAAATTATACAGTAAACCTTCAGCAGGCTTTTTTTCAACGGTGTTTCACTCACGACCAATGTTTAGGATTTTAATTGCGCTGGTTGTAATAGTTGGGACATCAGCTGTTTGCAGAAATGATAAAATGCACTGGTATATAATTATTACATTCAAAGCAAGTATTTTGCCAAGATCAGCTGTAATCAGGTCAGTGATAAACACTGCTGACACAGCGTGTAATAACGTTCCTAGTATTTGTTAGAAAGCAAAAGCAAGTAAGGATTAGTTTTAATATGGAAAGAAATAAGAGTATACTCGGTGAGCCCCCCACCTTCGAAACAAATATGCAGGAGATAACTCTTCATTTAAAATTACCCAATTCTTTCCACATTTTAAAACGTTGGTAAGTCAGTTCTCTGATAAAAATTAATTATTCTAACAAAATTTGCCAGACAGGAAGACCGAAGACTTTGCGTTGAAGGGAACTACTCCCACACAAGTTGGTTATTATTAAACATAATTACTAAAATAGGGTCGGGAATACAAAGGATTTAGAAGTTTCAATCACGCAAAGGCAAAACTCAAGTTGTAGGAAGACTCACCAAGTAATAGATATTTATTAACTTACATACTGAAGATATATAATGTCAACGATATATAATAATGTCAAAGATATACAATAATGTCAACTAATAAAGCTATAATTCTGCTTGAAACTTTTGTTTTAGATGCAAATTTAAACTTCGGTTATATAATGTATTAATTGAAACTTATTTTTTACTGCATGTATATCTATATGAGAAAACACCTCCAACATAAAATGTTATAAAATGAGCAATTTTCAAATGTTCTGCTGACAATGAAAAACTCTATCAAAAATAGATTAAAATGCCTCTAACATTAAGTACAACCTTAATAAATGACTTGTACTAAATAAACAGTCAATTCCCAGGGGATGACAGTCAAACACAGAGAGTTCAGGAAATTTATTATTACTTTTACGTGACTAATTCAAGTTTATTACTGTGCATTGTAGTTTAATTTATAAAGATATATAAAGTGCAGTTTATATAATTGCGTTCACAAATGTAAGTCTTCTACAGTTGAAGAAAAATTACTCGCTCGGAAGTAACCAAAGCAACTGCACCATGTGGATTAGAAATAATCGGAGCATCGTAAAACTCACTATAATCCCTCTTAAAATCGTTATAATCCGCCTTAGAATCCAGACATACATTGTCCTTTAATTCTCCTGTCTCTGAGAAAATACAAATATAAATACTTTTCCTGGCAGTTTTAACCAGAATCCGTCTTGTGACGTGATTTATTGCGACAGAATCAATATATCCATATTCCTCCGGCATCATAACTTTGCGTTCCAACTCGCCATTCTCCGTGTAGATATAAAAACAACCCGACTCTGCGACAATAATTTTTGTTCCATTATTATCTAGAAACCTTATCGCACGCACTCCGCCGAATAATTCTTTGAGATGAAAATTATTATCGACTTTAAACGAATCCGTCTTACATGAAGTTCCGACGTGCAGAATTTTTTTCTCTTGATCTACAACGCCGATCTTTTTGTCATTGTTTACTGCAACGTACACATCACGTGCCCGGTCGTGTTGAAAAGGCAACAGAGAGGCGAGTTTTTTGTCTCCATGCTCATCAAATATTAACAACTTGTAACTGCATAGTTGATCATTGCTTTCTCGAAATCTCGTGATGACGTAAAGGTTATCTTCGGCATCGATATTCATCGCAGCAACCTCGCAACGTGGCAAATCCTCTTGTTTGGAAGAATCAAATATTGAAAAGGTTTCTCCTGAGGGTTTAAATATTTTAACAAAACCATAAGAGCCTGTCGAAACAATTTCTCTTTTGCTATTTACAACATATAAGCAAGATTCCCTAACACGACTGGGAAATGTGAAATCTTGATACGGCGACGTGATATTTACACCAGACTCTTCGTATTTTCGAATAAGGCGATCATCAATGGCTAATGGATGGTAAGTTTTCTTTCCAAGCAAAATCCTGGGCCAATCAAAAAACACTGTTTGCAAGTTCGAAAACCTTTTGGCAAACTCATACAAAAGCAGATTCATTTGATGAACGGACGAAGCATTGTTGAGTCGCTTCGTTTTATTAAACAGAGATTTAATTCCGCCGTCCATCACAGCAGAAAATATTTCTTGAATAGCTTTGACATCATGAAGCTGCTTCAGGTATTGCAGGCAGTCGCTTACCGCCCCGTCAGGATCTTCTGATTTTTCTAAAATTCTGGCGATCATTCGCACCTGCGTCGCTTGAATTCGGTCTTCGATGGACAAAGCTTCGTTGCTGAATGCTTCGGTGGCTTTTTCACGAGCGAGTTTGAACGAATCTATGGCAGAAACATAGCTTTTCTCGGAATGTATTTTCAATGAACTGAAGGCGTTTATTAAAGACACAACTTCGTTGATTCGAGAAACAGGATCAGTTTCTTCAGAGGACGTAGCTGCAGCTGAGGTTGCTAGTTCGGTCGATTCTGATCCATTTTCGAATGCCTTAAACTGCTGTAGCGACTGATAAAGACCATTGATTCCTTCTTGAAGAAAAAGAAGGCTGCTCACTAAATCCTTTCTCGCCAATCCATCCAACTTCCTCTTAATATCATCGAGTTCTCTCACGATCAAGCGTCGAAATTCTTCGTTCGTGACGTCGCCATCGTTTAAACGTTCTGAGATTTTACTGCGAGCCTTGTTCACTAAAAATCCAAACGTCAGCTTCAAAACTCCGCCAACGATCTCAGTCATCTTGAAATAAATGAAGCGTTCTCCAAAGCAAACGTTCTATTTATAGTTCATGAGACAGTCACAAGATCAACACACCCACTCATCACTCTGCAAGACTCCGACCATTTTGATTCAAATTCAAACTATTTAACTGTCTTTCTTTCACGAAAGAATTTCAACGATGAGCTGTCTTTATGCTGATGATACATGCAAAGTTTCAAAATTAAAATGAATCTAAAATGTATTTCATTGGATTATTAAAATTATATTGTGAAATGATGCATCTATAGTCTTCTCTTTGACTGCATACGGATGATATTATATTCCTTTCTTAGGCCCCATAGCTCCTCAAATTTTAAAAACATGTTTGGTATGCAATATCACGTTTAGACATATCCAATTATCCATAATCATGGTTGATAAAAAAGTTTGTATATATCTGCTGTTTCACTCGAAATATAAATCCCCATATTGATTTTATATCTTTCTTTATTTTTATGGTTTTATAAGGAAAAGAGATCGATATAGGTTTAATAAAAAGTTTATGAATGGTTGAAAAATCATATCTTATACTATGTCTCACTTGAAATGTTAAATCCAAATAGTGTTAATTTTATATCTTTCTTTTTTACGGGCAGAAAAGAGATTGATATAGGTTTAATAAAAAGTTTATCTTTATATAGGGGCTATTTATATTGACCGGCTTGCATTCTTGAGATTCAACGAAGTACAAAATTTTTTGAAGAACTTAGGATGTCTTTATAAACCCAGACAACAGATCAATCATAAATCGTGAATGAAATTTCGCAAGAATTATACAGTATAACAATTCTGTTAAATTTTGGAAGTTTTAGGACTTTGCACTGGTTGTCATAGTTGGAACATCTGTCTGGAACATAGTTGGAACATCTGTTAAGCGTAAGCGAGTGTGGTTTAGGTTTAACATGAAAAGAAACAAGAGTATACTCGGCGAACCCTTCATCTTCGAAACAAATGCATGAAAGAACTCTCAGTTAAAATTACCCTATTCTCCCAAAACCTTGAAACGCTGCCAAGTCAGTTCAGTGATACTGCACGATCCTGATAAAATTTGCCAGGCAGGAAGCCTTTGCGTTGAAGGGAACTACTCCCACACAAGTTGGTTATTATTAAACATAATGACTAAAATATATCACGCAAAGATTTACGATCACGCAAAGGCAAAACTCAAGTTATAGGTACACCCTACAAGTAATAGATCTTTATTAACTTACATACTGAAAATATATAATAATGTCAACGATATATATAATAAATAATGTCAACTAACTATATTATACGCAACTAAAATTGGTCATTTGTTCAGAGTAACTAATCTAAAGCTACAATTCTGCTTGAAACTTTTGTTTTAGATACAAATTTAAATTTTTGTTATATAATTATGAAAAAGAAAACATTTTCCGTGTTTCTATACAGTTATAGAAATACGCGTGGGAGTTTGGGAGAACCGACCTCTGAACTATGGATTGCAAACTTGGCAGAACTTCACAGGGTTTCGACTCGGAATTTTATTAACTGAGGGCTTGGTATAACTCGAAATGATGAAGTTTTGGTCGCCGTATAAAGATCGCATCATTTTTGTATTAGCACACACACACTGATGAGATATTTCAGTCAATGGCTAACAACAATACATACATCACTGTACTAGAAAGTTGTGCCCTGTGTCAAAATTCCCTTGAGCTGCGCAGCAGGTAACTGCAGGTAACTCAGTGGTGACAATGTCGCAATGAAAGATGGCAAGATTCGCATTTGGTCAGGACATTTGTTAACTTGTTTACTGCGCATTTCAAAGGAATCTATGTATTCTCTAGTTTAGAATGTGATTTGGTATAGTTTTGTACTCATGTCAGACACTGAGCTTAACACAACACAGTGAATAACATAATATAGAGATCAGTTTTTTGCCACTGATCTCTATAGCAATATGAATATGCATAAAAACTTCAATTTTCGAAGTTTTTTTGCTCTCATTTTTGGGAAAAACTATACATGGTATACAACAACTTATTGTTGTATGTGAATGTTGTAAATGGACCCCACACAAGAAGTACAAACTGCACCTCCACCAATAGCAAGAATTTGAAATAAATCTAAACATATTGCCTACCACTTTTGTCATAGATTTCCTTGAACTGAAACTGATGTAGTGGACTTTTCCTAGTCACTTCATGTAAGGATACTTTTCTGTCTCCTCTGCAGGTCGACAGTTTCACGGTGAACAGGCAGTATATTTCCTTCCAGCTTGCTCAAACGACTATCAAATGACGACAAAATGCCCAGCTAAAATAGATCACAATACAGGAAAATTAATCATCAAGAGATTTGTCACATTTCATCAAAACAAAATCTTTACCAACTCAAAGCAAATAGACACCTCCCATTTGCTTGATTGCATGCAAAACAATAGCCTCAAAATGAGGTGGACAATGTAATCTATCATGGTTACCGAAGGTTATCAATGGTTTTCATTTCCCGAGAACAAATTTGAGAAGTGTCTATTTAACAAAAAGTCATCGAAGGCAAGGTGGTTACAAGTCTATATTCTCTGAACTTAAGGAAAAGTAAATATAGGCTTGTAATTACCAAGCCTGAGGAGAGAGTGGGGATCGAGAGAGGAGAAAGTGGGTGAGCTGTGTATTCTGGGGGAGGTGATCATGAATGTTTTGTGAAATTGTCAATTTTCAGGCAATCATATATACAGGAATGTTAGAAAAATTTTGTTGAGTCAACAAAGCTTCGCTCACATGTAGAAACGTCGAGAAATGTTTTGTCTATTTTAGACAGTTGTCATACCACATTTGATGCTATATTTTATTAGCAATACAGTCCCACTGGAAAAAGATGACATTTGGCGCTAGGTCAAGGGGGTATAGATAGATTGCTAGCTCTTTTGTACCTATGGTGTGAATGAACTCTATGATTGCAAAATTGGACCAGTTAAAACTGCCATTTTGCATGACATTGACAAAAGGTACATTACAACAAAGGGATTCCTATTAGATTTTGCAAAATATCGATTTTGACAAGTTCCCTTGATGGTTCATCAGGTTTAGGGACATCTCAGATATATTTCAGGTCACATCTCTGCTAGGTATGAATAGGTATGGGTATGAGCAATCTGGACCTCCTACATCTATGGTTGAAAGCCTCAATTTATGAATTGAGTCAAAAGCAAGCATGAACTATAATTTTCAGGGGAAAATAATTATAATTTAATAATTTTCCTAATGTACGCACCATATTTTGTGTTAACTGTTCACTTTTAGTCAGACTCTCTTTCAGGAAGGACAAATTAGCTTGTTCCTGTGGATAAAAAAGCACTTACATTTAGCATTAAGGCAGAGAGGTGCAGAAATCATATTTGCTATGAAATTTATTCAGCACCATCAAAATCATGGAGCGTATTTATTTGCGCTGAAACTCCGCACCTTTGAGAGTTTTTCTGCAAGAATCTTCTTCCTTTGAGTGACATCGTCTCCAGCTCCACCTAGCGTCATATTGTCAAAAAGATCTCGATTCTGCGAAGTTTATTCGCAGTTCAAAAACAAGGAAACACAAGACTCACTTCTCGATCGATCGCCATTTTGAAATTTTGACTTTAAATTTGCGGGTGTTCAGGCTGAACGCAATCAGGCAGCTTCGCCATCCAGTAATGTAATGACAGATCAGATGAAGGTTAAATCAGAGTCACTGATCAGAGCACTGGATCAGAGGTTGTTTTCAGCCTTTCAGGTTATCCGTGAGATATGATTTGAGTGAATTTACTTTCTCTTTACTGCCACAATTCAAACCACTAATATTAACCGTGAGCCAATGACAGATTTCAGCATTCCATAATAGACCTTTTTCATGATGACGTCAAACGCGGAAAGTCTGATGTTACACGAAGTTTGATTGGCTCGATAGTTTTGTGGAGCCAATGAAATTTCGTGTAACATCAGACTTTCCCCGTTTGACGTCATTATGAGAAAAGTCTATTAAAGATGCATATGCATGTGACAATTGGCCTAGAGTACAAAATATCACCATTACCTTCCTATAGCCCCCACATAACCACATTGCGTTGTGACGTTGTGTAGAGACAAGACTAAAGAACAAAGACAATTAGACAGACAATTCCACCTTAGCTATATGATGTAGAAATTTGTTATATAAGAACCGAAGGACGAAGGTCACCTTTCGTTTCACAAGTAGCATGTTTCTATTGGAGACTTTATCACCCTGCGAGTTACTTTATCGTGTGACCAACACAAAGTGCATTTCATGTGAACTCAACTGCATGTACACAGCAGCATTGCTATTGACTTCAAACACGCTTTCTTTCAGAAACTCTGGTCAAATGAGAATAATTTATTTATTCTGTGATCATTACTTATATACAGTATTCTGTAGTGTATAAGATTGTACAGTAAGCACTACAGTACGTATTGATAAATGATAAATACCCTAATTTTGTCAATGGTATATAGGAGTGGAAGTAGTGGAGTAGTAGTATTGTACAACTATTGGAGTATTGTAGTGTTTACATAGATTTTGGGTCACATTTCACAACTAAATTTGATCCCAAAAAGGCCAAAATCTCTTTTGCCGCGGCTTCTTTTCGCAATTTTCCTGTAATTTCATCATTTTGAAAGCTTGACCTAAAAACTTCACATGCAAACTTTTCACATCGACCAATCCTAATAATTGATAAAGTTAGTGACAATGCACATTCCTCAGTTACCCATATCAACTCTAGTATCTTGGATAAGGCACTTTTGCTTTTCATCAGCAAGAGATTCTTCTAAAGTTCTAATGATCAAATAAGTGTTCACTGTTCAGTGAGCTATAAAATGCATGGGACACAACACCAGTCACTTCCGCAGCTTTTCTGGAGATGCACAGCATATCAGGCATTGCGTACGAATAAATTTACGAAACTTAATTAGCTTAATGCAGAGTAATGATTGCGCCCGAATTGTTTAATTATTTTAAGGTCAGTGTTCTGGGAATCCAACCCAGAAGCCAAACATACCAATTTTTAACAGTTCATTTGTACAAATATTTGTTAATTTTTTGTGTAAAAATACGGAAGAAAACTTTTCATGATCACCGAACACGTTTTGGTTTGGCCCCAGACATGGACACTGTTTTTTGTTTGCCAAATATGAAAAGGAGGGAAACCGGAGTCCCCGGAGAAAAACCCTCCTGACCGCGCAATATGAAATCGGGATTTCAGATTACCTGGTCTGGCCAGCGGCCCGAATTTGTTATTTTGATTTAGAAATAGTCCGCAATGAAGGCAGTACAGACAAGTTTTGTTTTGATCTGTCGTAATTAATTAACCGTTTTAGTTGCGCTCATTTGAACAGAGAGTCCCAAGAATTGCCATGCAATTTTTGAGCTTCCATCAAATGGATCCTGGTGGTCTAGCGTGCGCATGCGTGCATATCGTGCGTTACAAAACAGCAGGCTGTTATCATCTGAATTGAATTGAATTGCATTTCGTCCGACAGTGGCAACAAAAATTATTTTTGGGCGATCGCAACTTTGGTGAAATCGTCGAAAAACATTTTTTTAATTCTGAAATTGTTGTAAGGATTTCTCAAGCGTAATCTCATCTTCATTCATACACGACTTGCATGCTTTTTGATCTTAAACCGATGTAGACAACAACACTCTTCTATTACCCTTCTCAAGAAATTTCTCATGCACCGTTTAAGTATTTTTGTAGATTACGGAATCGACAACGTTATCGGAATCAACATGCATTTTAATCATAATAGCTACTCCTAACATCTAGTATACTCAAGAATGGATGATGGTCCTTACCTTTTACGCCTTATAATTACCTTTCGTGAAACGTTCATCAAATTTCGCTTGCCTTGTTCGCTTGATTGCTCCGCTCCATTCCAAACATCTTAACAAAATCTCAAAACACGGTGAAGTGTGCAAAAGATTAATGAAACAAAATGAAACAAAATAATAGTTGTGTCAAAATTCAAAAGGGTCTTTCTACCGTACAGTTAGTTAAAACAGACAAAATACAATATTTTATTAAATAATTTAATGAAGTTAGCCAAAATGATTAATTAAACAAAATTTAGACTGTGATGCGAAAATTGAAAAACAATGAGAGAAACAGAAGAGTGTTGTGTGTAATCATCATCAAACCATTGATTTTTTGTTATTTGAAAGCTAAATAATCCGAAAGCAAGTTTTTACGTGAAATTTTCATTCGCTTTTACACAAGGATACATGCAGCATGCTCTGAAATGTTAAAAGTATAACTTTTGATGCCACTGACGTGCTTCGAAGCGGTCGATTTATAAGCAGGCTGAACAGAGGAACTTATATGATCATATAAGTGCTCGCGATTACCTTCGTATTAATCTAAAATTAGGCTAATACGAATTCGAATATGTATTTTCGCATTGCGTGCGCGTCGACCATGCTAATTGCGTTTGTTAGATTCATTTTAGCGCTTTAGAGCTGGCATGCGTCTTACGCAGCAGTTGGAATTCACACGCAAGTGACAAAACTGGGAATGTTTCATCGAGTAAGTTCGAAAATGTAGTCATCGGAACTTTGAAAAAATTTAGTGTTATCATGCACTGCCGAAAAGGGAGAAATGTCACTTGGTATGTGAATATACTAGGTTAGACCACCAGGATTACCCGAACCCAGAAAAAACATGCAATACTCCAATCAGTATACTTATAGTATGTACCTCAAAAAGCTTCTACTTGAACACTCGCCTTTTCGTCGATCCGATCATCATCTGGTTGGCGGTCCTTCATCATTTAGTTGGCGATCTTTCATCATCTGATTGGTGATCTTTCATTATCAGGGTGGCAATCCTTCATCATCTGGTTGGTGATCTTTCATCATCTGGTTGGTGATCTTTCATAATTTGATTGGCGATCTTTTATCATCTATTTGGTGATCCTTCAAAGGGTGAAGTGTAAATATACTAGGTTAGAACAACTGCTGAATCACCAAAAGCTAGAACAACCATGCCTTAAACAATATATTGGTATAATATAGTATGTACCTCGAAAGAGCTTCCACTTGAACACCCGTCTTGTCGTCCAATGTCAGATTGGCGATCCTTCATCATCTGGTTGGTGATCTTTCATCATCTGGTTGGTGATCTTTCATCATCTGGTTGGTGATCTTTCATCATCTGGTTGGTGATCTTTTATCATCTGGTTGGTGATCTTTCATCATCTGGTTGGTGATCTTTCATCATCTGGTTGGTGATCTTTCATCATCTGGTTGGTGATCTTTCATCATCTGGTTGGTGATCTTTCATCATCTGGTTGGTGATCCTTCATCATCTGGTTGGTGATCTTTCATTATCTGGTTGGTGATCTTTCATCATCTGGTTGATGATCTTTCATCATCTGGTTGGTGATCTTTCATAATCTGGTTGGCGATCTTTCATCATCTGGTTGGCGATCCTTCAAAGAGTGAAGTGTAAATATACTTGGTTAGAACAACTGCTGAATCACCAAAAACGAGAACAACCATGCACTTAAACAATATAATATAAATATAATATAGTATGTACCTCGAAAGAGCTTCCACTTGAACACCCGTCTGGTCATCCAATGTCAGATTGGCGATCCTTCATCATCTGGCTGATGATCCTTCATCATCTGGTGGGTGATCTTTCATCATCTATTTGGTGATCCTTCAAAGGGTGAAGTGTAAATATACTAGGTTAGAACAACTGCTGAATCACCAAAAGCCAGAACAACCATGCACTTAAACATTATATAAGTATAATATAGTATGTACCTCGAAAGAGCTTCCACTTGAACACCCGCCTTTTCGTCGATCCGATCATCATCTGGTTGGCGATCGTTCATCATTTGATTGGCGATCTTTCATCATATGGTGGGTGATCTTTCATCATATGGTGGGTGAACCTTCAAAGGGTGAAGTGCAAATATACTAGGTTAGAACAACTGCTGAATCACCAAAAGCATGCACTTAAACAATATATAAGTATGATATAGTATGTACCTCGAAAGAGCTTCCACTTGAACACCCGTCTTGTCGTCACCAATCAGATTGGTGATCTTTCATCATCTGATTGGCGATCTTTCATCATCTGATTGGTGATCCTTCATCATATGGTGGGTGATCTTTCATCATATGGTGGGTGAACCTTCAAAGGGTGAAGTGCAAATATACTAGGTTAGAACAACTGCTGAATCACCAAAAGCATGCACTTAAACAATATATAAGTATGATATAGTATGTACCTCGAAAGAGCTTCCACTTGAACACCCGTCTTGTCGTCCAATGTCAGATTGGTGATCCTTCATCATCTGGTTAGCAATTCTTCATCATCTGGTTAGCAATTCTTCATCATCTGGTTAGCAATTCTTCATCATCTGGTTAGCAATTCTTCATCATCTGGTTAGCAATTCTTCATCATCTGGTTAGGAATTCTTCATCATCTGGTTAGGAATTCTTCATCATCTGGTTAGGAATTCTTCATCATCTGGTTAGCAATTCTTCATCATCTGGTTAGCAATTCTTCATCATCTGGTTAGGAATTCTTCATCATCTGGTTAGGAATTCTTCATCATCTGGTTAGGAATTCTTCATCATCTGGTTAGGAATTCTTCATTATCTGGTTAGGAATTCTTCATCATCTGCTTAGCAATTCTTCATCATCTGGTTAGGAATTCTTCATCATCTGGTTAGCAATTCTTCATCATCTGGTTAGGAATTCTTCATCATCTGGTTAGGAATTCTTCATCATCTGGTTAGGAATTCTTCATCATCTGGTTAGGAATTCTTCATCATCTGGTTAGCAATTCTTCATCATCTGGTTAGCAATTCTTCATCATCTGGTTAGGAATTCTTCATCATCTGGTTAGGAATTCTTCATCATCTGGTTAGGAATTCTTCATCATCTGGTTAGGAATTCTTCATTATCTGGTTAGGAATTCTTCATCATCTGCTTAGCAATTCTTCATCATCTGGTTAGGAATTCTTCATCATCTGGTTAGGAATTCTTCATCATCTGGTTAGGAATTCTTCATCATCTGGTTAGGAATTCTTCATTATCTGGTTAGGAATTCTTCATCATCTGGTTAGGAATTCTTCATCATCTGGTTAGGAATTCTTCATCATCTGGTTAGGAATTCTTCATCATCTGCTTAGCAATTCTTCATCATCTGGTTAGGAATTCTTCATCATCTGGTTAGCAATTCTTCATCATCTGGTTAGCAATTCTTCATCATCTGGTTAGGAATTCTTCATCATCTGGTTAGGAATTCTTCATCATCTGGTTAGGAATTCTTCATCATCTGGTTAGGAATTCTTCATCATCTGGTTAGCAATTCTTCATCATCTGGTTAGCAATTCTTCATCATCTGGTTAGGAATTCTTCATCATCTGGTTAGGAATTCTTCATCATCTGGTTAGGAATTCTTCATCATCTGGTTAGCAATTCTTCATCATCTGGTTAGGAATTCTTCATCATCTGGTTAGGAATTCTTCATCATCTGGTTAGCAATTCTTCATCATCTGGTTAGGAATTCTTCATCATCTGGTTAGCAATTCTTCATCATCAGGTTAGGAATTCTTCATCATCTGGTTAGGAATTCTTCATCATCTGGTTAGCAATTCTTCATCATCTGGTTAGGAATTCTTCATCATCTGGTTAGGAATTCTTCATCATCTGGTTAGGAATTCTTCATCATCTGGTTAGGAATTCTTCATCATCTGGTTAGGAATTCTTCATCATCTGGTTAGCAATTCTTCATCATCTGGTTAGGAATTCTTCATCATCTGGTTAGGAATTCTTCATCATCTGGTTAGGAATTCTTCATCATCTGGTTAGCAATTCTTCATTATCTGGTTAGGAATTCTTCATCATCTGCTTAGCAATTCTTCATCATCTGGTTAGGAATTCTTCATCATCTGGTTAGCAATTCTTCATCATCTGGTTAGGAATTCTTCATCATCTGGTTAGGAATTCTTCATCATCTGGTTAGCAATTCTTCATCATCTGGTTAGGAATTCTTCATCATCTGGTTAGCAATTCTTCATCATCTGGTTAGCAATTCTTCATCATCTGGTTAGGAATTCTTCATCATCTGGTTAGGAATTCTTCATCATCTGGTAAGGAATTCTTCATCATCTGCTTAGCAATTCTTCATCATCTGGTTAGGAATTCTTCATCATCTGGTTAGGAATTCTTCATCATCTGCTTAGCAATTCTTCATCATCTGGTTAGCAATTCTTCATCATCTGGTTAGGAATTCTTCATCATCTGGTTAGGAATTCTTCATCATCTGGTTAGCAATTCTTCATCATCTGCTTAGCAATTCTTCATCATCTGGTTAGCAATTCTTCATCATCTGGTTAGCAATTCTTCATCATCTGGTTAGGAATTCTTCATCATCTGGTTAGCAATTCTTCATCATCTGGTTAGCAATTCTTCATCATCTGGTTAGGAATTCTTCATCATCTGGTTAGCAATTCTTCATCATCTGGTTAGCAATTCTTCATCATCTGGTTAGGAATTCTTCATCATCTGGTTAGCAATTCTTCATCATCTGGTTAGCAATTCTTCATCATCTGGTTAGCAATTCTTCATCATCTGGTTAGCAATTCTTCATCATCTGGTTAGCAATTCTTCATCATCTGATTGGTGATCCTTCATCATCTGGTTAGCAATTCTTCATCATCTGATTGCCGGTGATCCTTCATCATCTGGTTAGCAATTCTTCATCATCTGATTGGTGATCCTTCATCATCTGGTTAGCAATTCTTCATCATCTGATTGCCGGTGATCCTTCATCATCTGGTTAGCAATTCTTCATCATCTGATTGGTGATCCTTCATCATCTGGTTAGCAATTCTTCATCATCTGATTGGTGATCCTTCATCATCTGGTTAGCAATTCTTCATCATCTGGTTAGCATTTCTTCGTCATCTGGTTGATGATCCTTCTTCACCTGATTGGTGATCTTTCTTCATCTGGTTGGCAGTCCTCCAACATCTGATTAGCTATCCATCGTCCGGGTGTCGATATTTTCCACGCCACTCACCCGGGGCCTTCGCATTGTGCAGGCAAATACAAAATATATGTCATGCAATTTTGTAAGAAATATTGATCGAAAAACATGCAGCTTTGTTTCCGTATTGGTGGCGAGAAAGCAGTAACACTCGACTATTATCTCCTTGCAATATCTCATGCATTTTTTATGATTTAGGCGCTCTGTAAGCGACATTTTTTCGTATGTCGGACTATTATCGTTCAAGTTTGAAGAAAACACAAGTGATGGGGCCCCAGAATCACTTGTATTTACTCCGCAAGCGCTTGACACGACCAGTTTAACCCAGGGGTTGGAGGAACTAAAACTGTAATTCGAAAAAATTTGAAATTCAATGAGGTAAACAGAAGAGGGTTCGGCATATCTGAGCTAAAAATACGTATTTTTTTTCTTTGTTTATAAAACCATGCAAATATTTTGACCGAAATTAAAACTTTTGTATTTGCGTGCACGAATTGTTCCAGCTCCTGTCTCATATCTCTCAACTTCGGCGTTTCTTTTATCCTAAAACAGAAGTAAAACGTAATTTGTAAAGGAAAATAGTTCACGGACAAATAAAGTTTGTTTAAAATGACTTGCTTTGCGAGACAAAAACCTTTTAACTGTATATCTAAAAATGCGTATTTTTTGGTTGTCATTGTGAAACGAATTGACATAAGAGGAACAAAGGAATCCGTACAGAAAAATACTGATACTGAAGTAAAAAACAAGTTCCGAACCGATTAAAACTACAGTCTACAATTTAGGAGCTAAAATATACCCTGGCACGCGTTAAGTTTATCACGGTACAATGATATAATATGATATGAAATGAAATGGTTCTAAACAGCTGAAACCCAGTTGTACGAGAGACATGAAGCACATACATTGACAAATACGGAAAATTATATGCATTCAATCCAGTTTAAATCTCTATTATCCTATATAGAAATGATGTTTACGATACGGCATCGTATGTTCGAGACAAAGTCATGTATAGGAGAACGTCCCGGAAAAGTTTGATTAAACTATCCTAGTTTCGCTCAGCGTTTTCAAACGTGTTATTTCAAGCCTCAAATACAAAATACACATGCATTGATTAATAAAACAATACCTATTATTCGCTGCAAGCAAGCGTTTGTGTTTCGCTTCAAACTTCGATCCCCATCTTTCAGCGCCGTACAATTCGTTCTGAAATGAAATATTGAAAGGAAAGCAAAATCAATATCACAGCCGATTCGTATCTGATAAAAAATACACAATATCGCGCTGAAATCATGAAAGAATGTGCCTCCAATTGCGAATGTCTTCTCGCTATTCATAACAATACAAAAGGTCAGAGCGATGAATTAATCTACGAGGACAAATAAACGGTTTCTTTAAACCAACTATGTACCTGGTCACAGAGCAAAATTCTTCTCTCAAACTTCTTCTCAGCTTCTTCCCATTCGACCGACTTGAGATCCTTCCACGAAGACTTTACCACATTTGATTTTCTTCGAGAATACATCCAGCTTTTATTGCCTCAAACTCGCCTCGCACGATCCATTGTTTCAGATCTCTTGCATTCTAACGGACAATGCACTTTATGCATCGAAGACACTTTACAGTAAAAGCCTATGTAAATGATGTAGTTTCCCCGACCCAGTTTGGCAAATTTGCCCGGAAAAATTGAACAAACAAAGTTTTGCAGACTCGGAACAATAGTTTTTGAATATTTCTATTGTCCTTTGCAAATTAATGCAAAATAATTAATGCATTGTTTGGTCTTTTAGGCCTAGGGTTATACGTCGCATTTTGGTCGCCTCGAATGCAATTCAAACAATAGACGAGATGATAAACCTCATGAAGCTTCATTATCATCTCACTATCAATTGTTTGAATGGCATTCGACGCGACCAAAATGCGACGTTTAACCTAGCTTTACTTGTAATCGAGAAACCACATACAAAATTAGCCGTTAACAACTGTGAGAGTAATTCTCCCGAGCGTTGAATTAAACAATAAATAAATACACAAATAAACTTCGTCTGTTTAATTCATAATCGATCGCTTTAACACCACAATAATAGATATCATTACTACATCATTCATACTAACTTTCTTGCGCTAAAACTAAGAATAACTTGACTTGCATCGATTATTTTACCCAGCTCGTCTTATTTCGGTGTCGATCCAATTTCTGAACTTCGCAACGCGAGCGAAAACGGTGTAGCGCTCAGAAGATGAGCATCTCGGAGAACCCCAGCTGACGGCTCCTTGAAGAACGAAACGATTGTTCCTGTCCCGGCATACATAGGGGCCGCCGCTGTCACCATGACAACCACTTAGGATGCTGTCGTCAACCCCGGCACATAACATTTGCTCTGTGATCGATAATCTGTCGCCACCTTGCGAAAAATAAAAATAACACTTCAGTAAATGCTTTTAAACTTTGTGTGGCGGGTAGGTGGGCGGAGGAGACACTGGAGGGGTGGTGGGTGGTGGAGATGCAGGGGTCACTAGTACGGGGGTCTGGTGATGCACAGAAAGATGGGAGGGGTGGCACCAGTACGAAGCAGGAGTTTGGGAAGCTATGACTTCAATAAAAACTGCAGGATTACCTAGTTGATTGACGAGAAGATTACGCATACTTACCAGGAGATTGTGCGAGTTTTCTTTTGCATTCATCCTGACTTCTTGGTGGTAACCTTGCTTGCTGTAGTGTGTGGTGAGAGCTTCCCGGGTGCCGGATTTTACCCCAACCTATCAAAGGTAAAAAACACAATTACAACCATCACTTGATGATCATTTCACAAGTCGCGAACTGGTTAACTTAACACAGGTAAAAAAGCGATTGTGACTGTCAAAAAGTTCTCAAAGTCCGGCTGAAACGAGAAGTATGTTCAAACTTTAAAGACGTTCGTAAAGAGACAAAATGAATCCCGTTCATTTTGATAATTGTAAATGGAGGAAGTCTGGATCCTAAGGGTATTATTATACTAAGAAAGTTTGCTAGGATTTATTTGCCGGATTTGTTAGTTGCCTTCTTATTTTTCCTTATTGAGTATGTAAAAGCAAAAAGTAGAAGCGAGCAAATCCAAAATCTTTTACTAATTTTCCTTGCGATATTGAGAAGACAAAAGTCGACTGATATCGTTTGTAAAAACATCGTATTTTTACAGTAATTCTCTCAACAAACAGTAAAATGAATGGCTGTAGTCTCTTCCTACCGTTTAATTTCTGCTAAATACATTTCATGTAACGGCTCAATGCTATTCAACCGACTTACCAGTTGAAAGATGCAATGTTTTTCACAACCATCATCAAACTTACCAGTGATATAACACTCAGAGTTCAAGGGAACATCGAAGTTATGGCTTGGTAAACAGACAGTTGAAATGCGGTTGTTCAATTTTGCGGGTCGTTCGAGTTGGATCAACGCGATGTCGTTGTTGAGAGTAGGTCGACCATACTGTGGATGAACTATCACCTTCTTTGCTCTGATTCGCTGCTCGTGATTCTGCGGCGAGTTTCGGTTGTGCGCTCCGAGAAGGATGGTGTAAGATGAAGCACTAAAGTAAGAAAATTCGCTGTCAACGTGAAATACTCATGTGAAATAAACACAAATATAAAATAATTTTAGAACTATGTTAAATGGAGTAAATTGAAATAATAGTCTATTATATTACAATTTTATGACAATGATAAAATGGCTGAAAAGGTGTTCGTGTTGGGGGGGTATACGTAGTCGTCGTCCTTGGACTTGTAACAGTATTACCTCGGCGACCGAGATACGCAGTGGGCAGCGGTCACAATCCAGTCGGCATAGACCAACGAACCACCACAACTAAATCTTCCTGATCTCAATAGGGCGACCTGGAATGAAAGAAAATTCAGTGTAGCGCATTAAATAGGGAGCTCCTTGAAAAGGCTGGAGAAACGAATGCGTTGAAAGGGGGGAGGGCTGTGGTTTACCTGCCAAGGCCAAGCCCCTGGGACTGCATTCGTTCCACCAATCACACGACCGCTGTTACCACCAATGCCACATGATCCTAAACATACGAAGGTCAATATTTGTTACAAATGCTTATGAACGATAGCAACAGTGCAAGAAACAACTACACATTATCCTAAGAAACTCACCGACTGGGGGTCTGGTAACTGGTACTGTAGGTCTCGGGGTCTCCGGACCCGGTCCCCCTGAAGAAATAACCGTCATTATCTGACTAGGACCTAGGCGTCTCGGCTTTGTAACCTGTCTTATCCACGAAGGTCTCTCAGGTCCTGAATATCCCACCAAGGCATACGATCCTCGATAAGCAGGTCTGACTGGTTTTACGCCGCCGACACGAAGCATCGCGGTCTGAAGTGCTGACGTCATCCTCGAGGCACCTTCGTCCTGGATGGCGATCAGAATAATTTTTCTACAAAAAAGTGCAATAAGATCATTTTCAAAAATGGCACCAAAGTTAACGTTGCAATGAATTCTAAAGCCCTCTCGCTAACATAAGCCAACCAGCAATGAATTACACTTTTTGAGACCGAGGAAATAGTACATTTGCCTACCGCTGTTTAGCATTAGCCAAATCATTTAATTTCTTTGCCATTTGTCCTGATTGATAAGTGGATCCGTGAGTGTCGTATGCTTTTCTGTACTCAACGCGACCTATAAATAGATGAGTCAGAGATGAGCCTTGCAGGATAGACCTGAGTGGACTGTTTAGAACTGACATCTAACTGCATCTCAAGAAAAATAGGTTGTAACTGATGGAGCTGTCTAGTATAAAGAGTTTAGTTTAGGTTTCCTCCTGTGGTAATACTGGAATGACTAGATCAATAATAGATGATCCTTACTAGATCTCTAGGAAGAACAGCTAAGAACTGATAGAGCTATCCAGTATAAATAAAGTTTGTTTAGTTTAGGTTTTCTCCTGTAGTAACACTGGATCAATAAGAGATGATCCTTACTGGACCTTTAGGAAGAACAGTTTAGAACTGATACCAGAACAGTTCTCACCAGTTTGCGAATTAACAACAACCAAATTATGTCCTCTTCTCTTAGGGGCATAATCCACTCCGTTGACCTTGATATATGCGCGACCACAGTGGACTGAAACCAACTTCGGGTCATCACAACCTTCGCTTCGCAACTCAACTTTGATTCCTGAGAAAAGTAACGTGTTTATTTAGATGAGGACAGTGATAACATCAAACATTTATGGCATACGCCAGGCCATCCGCCATGAAGCCATGGTATCAGTCCTAGAGAAAAGTGAAATGCCTGGGAGCGGGGTGGCTCGCTGGGTCAATAATTTTTCCGTAATTATAGTCTTTAATTTCGAATATTTTTTAGTCCACTCAAATTTACAAGCAATATTTTTAGCAATTTGTATTTTTTGCTTACTTCTTCAACGTATATTTTAATAACCAATTCAAACAAATGAGTATTCTAATTTCCAACGATATCGTAATAAATCCGCCATGCTTACAAATGGATTGAAATTAGTTATGTCCAGTACATATGTTTGGCCAAAAAAAAAGGACAAGAAAGGACAAGCATTTGACCATTAAAACAGCGTTGTTATTTATGTCAAAATATTTGACATCATAACTAAAGCATGGTTATATTGTTTAATGTTTGTATATGAGCGCCAAACACGCTGGAAACTTTACATAGGACAAGCATTTGACCATTAAAACAGCGTGGTTATCCATGTCAAAATATTTGACATCATAACCAAAGCATGGTTATATTGTTTAATGTTTGTATATGAGCGCCAAACATGCTGGAAACTTTACATAGGACAAGAATTTTACCATTAAAACAGCGTGGTTATCCATGTCAAAATATTTGGCCATGCTGGAAACTTTACATAGGACAAGCATTTGACCATTAAAACAGCGTGGTTATCCATATCAAAATATTTGACATCATAACCAAAGCATGGTTATGTTGTTTAATGTTTGTATATGAGATAGAAAAATGTTTGAAACATGTTCGGCAAATTTATGGGGTAACAAATATTATCAATACAGGCGCTATACTCACCATTAGAAGGTGCCGTTGGTCTAGTGGGCACGGTGGTCACTGGTCTGGGGGGCATGGTGGTGACTGGCCTGGGTGGGGTTGTGGGGCGAGGGGTAGCTATATAAAACATTGATTGAAGTCAACGAACGTTCAGGATAACAGGGTCCTATCGCGACCATCCTGGTGATCCTACCTTCTCCACATTTGTACATCAAGTTCATCTGTCGAACATCACTGGGACTCAGACCCCGTCGTTGTCCGAGTGTCACCTTGAATGAAAAACGTCACAAAACATGCATTAGTTGAACTCGACACACCCTTGGCCTGTTTTCCTCTCCTGTTCCGTGTTGTAGCGAATCGTGTCGTATTCTTTACTTCTAGTCATTGCATAATGCATCAGGGGTCGAGGAAGATCCTTAAATGTAGGGATAGGGGCTAATATTCATAGATTCATGTTAACACACCGTAAAAACAATCAATTTTAAAAGAAACTAGTAATGCTGAACGTGAATATATAAATATTAGCCTCCCCATATTCAAGGATCTTTCGTGGTGCCTACATTTGTTCTAACTTGGGTAAAGTACTCACGCATTACATTTCTCTACAAAACGATGTTGTATAATCTGTCATTAGGCGCCTACTTTTTTTTTCGGGTGTTATATGACCGCAATATTTAATGGACGTGTCTGGAGTCTTACATCAGATTTCTTTGGTACGATCGTATCCTGACCGTTGTTCGAAAAGGCTCGTCTTCCGTAGTGCATGATACTTCCATAATCATACGGAACATTTAGAGAATCAATCTGTGTCCTGGTGTATTTTTTGAAGTTGTGACGATTGCCTAAAGAAAGAAAAGTAATATTTCAAATATTACACGCTCTCCTGCCTTTTTGATTATGTTTCAAAATTACTTTTGTTAGGCTGACCGCCTGACCTAGCCACTGGCCTAAACCCATTATCTCACCCTATGGTCGAAGAATATTACTTAAAATGAACATCTTTTAAAGTGAACATCTCGCCCCAAAATTTCATTGGCGAAAAGCGTTTTGATAAAACTGAAGAAATTATGCTCCGAAGTAGAAACTTTTCTCCATGTTTGTGTAGTTTCGACCAGGGATGATTTTCCAATTTATATGAACCCCCACCCAATTTATATAACCCCCCCACCCAATTTATATAACCCCTCCCCAATTTATATACCCCCTACCTAATTTATATAATCCTCCCACCCAATTTATATAACATCCCCCCACCCAATTTATATAACCTCCCCCCACCCAATTTATATAACCTCCCCCACCCAATTTATATAACCTCCCCCCACCCAATTTGCATAACCTCCCCCACCCAATTTATATAACCTCCCCCCACCCAATTTATATAACCCCCCCACCCAATTTATATAACCCCCCTCTACATAACCTCGACACTCACCGGAGGGGATGTTATCCCACATAATAGTGACATATTCATCACGATCAGGTCTGGATTGTTCGTGCCAAAACCCTAGGGCATGTCCTGCGGAAAAGATAAGCATATGTAACATCAGTCCACCATATAATGTTTTGAAAAGCTTTAACCTTTTCAATTGCAATGTGACTTCAATCCAAGGAAAGCGTTCTTTAATTATAAGGCATATTTAATCGTCCACATTCAACGTACCAATTTCATGAACAACAATTCCGTGATGCCAACATCCACCGGCTAAACTGATCTTTTGCTTATGGCCTGTCATACCTACATACGACCAACATCTATAAAAAAGTTTCATTCGAACCACAGTTAATAGAATATACATGGTTTGGAGACCACATAAAACTACAATACAACTCATGAACTATGTTGAGGTAGATTTATGCAAAAAGTTGTTCCTTTCTCGTCACACGTCTATTGTATTTTGCACAGATAAACCAATAGCAATCTTATAATTAACATATTATTAAAGTCAAGGTTGAGGAGCTTAGAAAGACGAATGTCATTGGTAAATTTGGCTAAAATACAATAAACACGTGACGAGAAAGGAACCATTTTTTGCATAAACCTGGACAATAACATAATGAGTTGTATTGTACTTTTATTTAGTCTCCAGACCATGTATTATCTATTAACTGTGTTCGAACTTATTACGTAAGTAAAACAAATTATTCAGACTTTATAAACGCTTTTCAAAAGAAATCTGAAGGAGACGCTATGATTTTAGAAGGAGAAATCATTTATTGCTTTCGGATTGAACGAAAATTGAAATAGTATCGCACCCGTTCACAGAGTGAGGTTTTTAAAGCCGCTTTTGAAGGAAATTTTAAATTCAAAAAATGATTGGCTTAAGTTCGTGAAACCCGCCCTTTAACAGTCACATGAATAAAAAAAAAATAGGAACTAAGCCCAAAATTCACAAATTATTATTGGTAAGGTGTTAAAGGGGATTGTTAAAATCTACATGTAGAAGAATCTAAAAAGAAAGTTCAACAGGTAAACGACTTACCCTCCACCCTTGTAGAACTCTGTATATGCCCTATCGTTGCTAGCTCTGCGTTCGAATCGTATGCAAGTTTTATCCGACCATTCTTTCATTGCACTCGCAATCACTTGCATGGCGCTTGAACTACCGCCTAAACCACAGCAAAATACGATAAAAAACAAAATGAACTGACGCGGTTTAACCAGTTGTTTGAACTGCTTGTTTGAACCGATGTGGTCAACATTTATACTAAACAAGAAAATACAAGTGACAAAAGCAACAAACAAACTTTTTGTCCAACTTCTTCTAAAAAACACGAGAAGTTATGTACAAGATCTCGTTAGACTTTCATGGTTTGTTTGGTTGTGATATTTTCACCGAAAGAAGCAGGCGAGTTGCTTGTCATTTTAAGAAATTGCATGAGGATTGAGGGTTGAGGATTGAGGATTGCATGATGACTTCAGGTGCGAGATATCCCATTATAAACGAAGCTTTTTAAACTTGACCAGCTGTTTAATTCTACGAAGTCTGCTCGGTCGAACAACAGACGATTTTCTTGCGAGAAAGAAAAACAACTTACTCAATGAGCTTGCGATGACGTATTTGAAGACGCCATTGGTCCATCGTTTGGTGCTTTTCGCAGCTCCGAAAGTGTTCGCAGGCTCCAAATCTAATTCATTATCGATCGCGTTTTTCTGTTCCCGGGTAAGTTTAATATCACCTTCGAATTTGCCCGCGAACTCTAAAAATAATGGAAACCACAAATGTATGTCTGTATTATTGTATACGGAATTGCACAGACACTTGAGTTTGACCTATATAGAAATTGTTTATCATGCACTGATCGGAGATTAACGGAGATAGTTTTTTCTTCATCAATAGAAAGATTTAAGGTATAAGATATTCAAAAATCTAGCTTTTCTTCGAGTTGTAATACCGCTTAAAAGAATCGCTGTTAAATAGATGAAGTATCCTATTTAATGTACGTGTCTGAGTGTGAGAGAGCTTTCAGCTTTTAGAACACAAAGGTAGTAAGAATACAAATGGAGAAATATTCGTCTTCTTCAAGTTGAAAATTTCAAGACTTACACTGAACTTATATAAATGCTATGAGGTTATTCCGAATTTCAGTGTATAGGTAAAAAAAATTGGCAAGTATTTGTCAAAATTTTTTATCTACACAATCGGAATAACTTTGTTTTAGGAAATTGATTTAGGAATATACGATTTTACCTTCAGGTGACCTGGCAAAAGTTATAGAAACTCCAAGTACGAGAATGATGATACTCGACCAAGCCATGGTTGAAATGATGAAGCTGTTCTCAAGATGAGATCTTTTAACACGGACGGCTTCTTTTCATTCGCCGCCAACAATGGAACTGACTCATCAGCTGCGGCCATTGTTTAAACACTCGACCAACAAATACTCGCTTACGCGTTGGTGGTGAAGGCCTTCCCCCGGACACCAAGCTGGAAAAATATTTGATTCAGCTGAGATAGCGTTTATTTCCTGAGAACATCGATATGACTTCACGATATTAAATAACAGCAACAAACTCTTATTTCTCCTCAGTATTTACGATATAGCTACGGTTCTTCGAAACTATACTTCTATAGAGTCTGTATATTCAAATTTTGCATGTAATTTATCACTTAGTCTGAAGATGTCTTAAGTTAAGACGAAACGTGGAGTTATTTTTATACTTTCAAATTGTTGAAATTGTCTTTTATTGCTTTACTAAAAGCACCATAAGTTGGGTCTCTGGCAACAGTATTAAGTTTTTTATGATGAAAATGGTACATTTTCTCATGCTAAATAGTAGCACACACGTATATTCCAAGCCTTGAAAACCTGGCAGACATTTTATGGCCACGGAGCGGGTTTTCGCAACGCGGCGTTTTTGTTCAAACGAAATCCGTCCTTTTTTCGTGAGAATTCGAAGACTTCAGTAGTCAAGAATTGCAAAAAAATGAAACGAAAACATGAAAAATTCTGATTGAAAACCGCCTGAAAAGACGGCGAATATGTACAAGTGCATCATATGTGTACGGACACTGAGAATTGTTGTGCAGAGTGAAACACAAACAGCTGATTAATTATGAACAAATTAGCTGAACAAACACAGTGGTTTGCATTAAGGGAGTTTAATTTCAAGCTTAATTTATAACCAAATAACACTGGTCAAACATCATAGCCATGCATGCAAATATAGGCTAAACATATCCTGGACAAATATTGTGCATTATTTTCCAACGACAAAGTGTTAGAAAGTAAAAACAATTTGCAGGACGAAAAACCACGATAGTTTTCCAAAGCTACATCACTAAATTCCCGAGTAGATTATGCCTTAATGAACACTTAGCTAATATCAGATTAGATTCTTTCAGTAGCGAGGTTCAGATTTGGCTTCTACTACCACTAGCTACCGCTACCTCTCGCTAATCTATTAAGCTCGTGATTGGTTAGTCTGATCGACCTATCGCATTTGATCGATTGGTTTATATTTCCTCAAGGGTTGTGGTAGTCGTAGTGGTGGTCAAATCTGAACCTCGCTACTATACCAGGAGCGAAGGCAAACTATATTCGTTATGCCAGTATTTGATATACTCGACTTTGAATGGTGATAAATGATTCAGTTATGGTCTAATATACCGGTATATGGTATACCCGACCTTGGTAATAAAAAAAAGTGAAGGTCCAATATTAACTGATTATTGAGTCTATTGAACGAGCGTAAGGTCTGTACTGTGAAATATCAGACCCAGGCTTTTTAGTATGGACCGAGCAACAAAAGAGCGAGGTTCACATGCTAAAGACCTTGATCTGATATTCCACAGTACAAATCGAACAAGCGAGGGTCAATAATCTGTTTATTATATGGCTGAACTGCATGAGACATCCGAGATACTGGACCAGATACGGAATATACTAACTACGGTCCGGATATGGGTTTTTACGGACCACTCGCAGTAAGTATCTACCTAATAATTATGAACGGGTTTTGTGATTGACTTTTTGTAACAATAGTGAACAGTGTTTATGATTCGTTCTTTTAGAAGTCAATTTCTATAGTTCATTGTGTTTTATTGTTATCATCAACCAATAGCAAAGCTTGTTCGTATAGGTTCGTACCAGCCCACCGCTCGTCAACCAATCAGATTAGAGGAACTTCAAAAGCCATATAATAAACCGGTATATGGTATACTCGACCTTGGTAATACAAAAAATTGAAGTCGAATATACCGGAATATGGTATACTCGGCTTGGTAATGAAAAATACTAACTAATTTTCTTTGATGGATCCTCGTGCCCAGGCCACGCTCGTACACAGGCAATTATAAACGTCACAATCTTTCAATTATAGCGTGAAATTATTTTGCTTCATCCGTGTGTTTCAGTGACATAGCGCGATGAAGCAAAACGATATTATAACATTTTTGATGGCAATTTTTGGATTATTGATGATCCTGTTTGCGCAAGAAGGTTTTGCATTAAGTTTCTGTCCTCCACGAACCATGGCTGTTTCCCTGCCCGAGGCGGGAGACGCTGGTAAATGCGTTTGCCAGGAGGAATTTACTGGCCCACACTGCCGGTACAGAGGTACGAGAATATCTGAACCATCTTATTTATAGGAACCGGGAACATACCAAACAGAGGTCGCCTCGATTTGAAATTGTTTAAAACTTATTGAACCTTAAATGCAAGTTATTAGCTATATGATCCTTATAATATAGACTTCCGTCTTCCTATAGGAACAGAGCAGTTTAGAACTGATAGAGCAATCCAGTATAAATAAAGTTAGTTTAGTTTAGTTTTTTCCCCTGTAGTAACACAGGATCAATAAGAACAGTTTAGAACTGATAGAGCTATCCATGCAGTATAAATAAAGACAGTTTAGTTTAGGTTTCCTCCTGTAGACTGTGGTAAAACAGGATGAATAAGAGATTATTTTCGGCGACAGTTTTAGACATCGAATAGCTTTGCAAAGGTAGAACTGTTTTTCAGTAAATAATCTTCAGAACGAGTGGATTTATTTGGGACGTGTCTTCCAGTAACACTCATAAATTGCACAGCAAATTTAACAATTTATAAATTTTTTATAAGCTTTTATAAATAAAAGTTTTTATGACGTATTTCAGCGCGTGCACATCAATTAATTGACAATTCCAAGCGCGCGCCATTTCGCCGAATCTTGCATGCGTCTTTTAATTTCCGCATTACATTGCTGACAAAATATTACAAAAATGCCAAAAGTTCACATTTCTCTCAAATAACAGCAGACATTGGAGGTAGACTCATGCATGTCTTGATATAAGCATCAGCATTGTTTCTGAGATAAACCTTGCTTCATTGAATTAGAATATATAGCCTACAATTCTAAAAATTTGTATAATTGTCGAAATTCTTGATTGAAAATACAAACGGACGCGATCGATTTGCATTCACTTACGAAGTTTAAAAATGAGTTTAAACGAGAAAATTGCAAGTGAAGTTTTAAGATAAACCGAAATGAGAGGCAACTATTTCAAATTAAATAACTTTTGATCAAATCCGTTCTATATAACAAGTGTCCAAAATATATAAGAAAACTTATTGCTATTTTGACGTTTTGACTGAAGGTTAAGCAGTTCAGAATAATCAGCTTCAAACTGTTAGTTTAATTTCTCGTTTATTTGGTAACATAATACAACTTAATTTTATCATTGTGTTATGCGTTTCTGGCCACAAATATTGCTAAAAAAGAGGCATCTGAGGCGACTAACTTAAAAAAGCAATAAAACAACAATTATTACAGTGAAGTATACTTGTTTGTGAACCACAATCTTTCATTTTTGTAGCCGAGAATGGTTCCAGGACATTGAATATTTCCTGGATAACCAACCAATGGGCTCTCGTACGAATCCAGCACCAGGGCGAAAAGGAACGGGTCGAAATCTCGGTCCGACCAGTTGTTTACAAAGACAAAATTTCCTACGGGAAATGGAGACGAGTGTTCCTACACTCCGTTGTCAAGATTAAGACAGCTAAAGACGCTGCACCCAGCACAATGGCGTTCATAAACCTACCATCTGACGCTTCATATGAAGTTCGAATGATGCCAGTGAACCCCGATGGCGATGGTGAAACCAGACCAGCTGTGTATATGTTCTTAGATGCACAAGAAATCTCCGATGAAGGTTTGAACACATGCAATAATAAAACGTAAAATATATGCATTAACGTATCTTTAATACATACAGGCAACCTGCCATGATGGATACACCTTTATAGGAAATTTCCTTGTTAAAAAACTTGGATATGTTGCTACGTGTACCAACGCCTCTTTCAACGCAGATAACTCTTTAAAAAAGAGTTCTCTGGCTGGTATGGATACCGTGGTATTAAATGCAAACGCCTCTGTTTCAAGATGCACCACTCTAGTTAGAGATGCGTTTCTAAGGCTTTCAGCTTTCAGAAAACAGATACGTCGTTATGCAAACAGCTTTCCAGAATAGAGAACCGCCCCTGATATATGCTTCTCCACAATATGGACTATACCTCTCCATACCATAACTCGGAATTAATGACATCTTTCAAAAGCACCCTTATTATTATAAGGAGTCATGAAATTCACAACACTTTAAATAAGGACAACCTCCCCAACACACAGCTCCCTTATAAACTCCGTGAAGAATAGACTCCTTTATATGACGAGTGGCCGCTTCAGCTCCCTAATATAGAAACCTCGCATCACAGTCACCAAAACATCTTTACTGCAGAAACCTTTCACTGATATTCACGTCTCCGTGTATGTTTTGTATGGAATTTCTTACCCTTTAAAACAATACGAGTATTTCCATGTATTTCTGATGATCATTTGCGTCTTTTTCACTGTTGTTCCAGGAGAGGTAATGGCGTTCAAAAACGTGTTTTCAAAAGCAATGAATTTCAAGGACGACAGCGTGTTGCGTGGTGTCAGTATTGGCATGGTTGGTGGATGTATCGCTGTGCTTCTAATCCAGACTATTTGCTATTGCATCATAGGGTGAGGATTCACATTTGTTACACATGTTGTTCTTCAGCAAAAGCTGTATTCAAAAGGTCATTAGCGCTATATAATTTCAAATGATTTGATGAGTAAATATTAACATCTGGGGCCAGTTGTATAAAAGACTAGTTAACTTTTAACTGTAGTTAAGGACAGAATTGGCCAATCAAAGTTGTGTATTTCTGAGTTAACTAGGATTTAACTATGCAAAATGAAGTTAAGGAGTTTTATACAACCTGTCCCTGGTGAACACAACCATATATATATATATATATATATATATATATATATATATATATATATATATATATATATATATATATAGATCGATAACTTTAACATTTGTAAAAAAATGTATTTAATATGCGTAGACTGAGTTTTCGGTCCATTAACCCTGGCATTCGTCAGTGCAATAAACTTTTCGACATTTTGTAACAGCATTCACATTCTGTGAATGGTTTAACTTTGAAGTTTCAAGATTTAAGTATTCAATGCACTATATATGGTTTAAGCCGGATTGAAAAGCATTTTGATGTTTCCTTCAAGGGATGTGTTCAATGTAAGGTTTCATTGCCATTCATATGTTGCTTTTTAGAAGCTGCATCAAGTGTGTGACAAAGCTGCGCAGCCGCAGAAAACAAAATGCAGACGTGCCAACTGACGTCGTTATTGACATTGAGAAAGATAACGAGGTAAATAAAGTGTACCTCGTATTCAACAGAAATTAAATCCATACGAGTAGAGGTAGAATTGGAGAAAATATAGCGTAGTTGTTCCCTTTGAAGTAAATTCTAAAACAATCACCTTCAAATCGCGAACCGGAGATCTTTTAGAGACAAAACAATGGACAATTTGAACGTCAGACAATTTTCCTATCCAGAAATGAAAACAACAATTGCAAAGTTTGGCGGCGAATTTTTGCAAAATGCGGGAAATATGGCTTGGCAAAATTCGAAAATTCATCCTGCACAGAAAATGTTATTTTTTTTGTCCAAAGGTGCGCACTCTTTCGAGAGACAACGAATGAGTTTAATTGTTATATCTTTGTAGATTGAACAAGCCTCAGACGAGACAGAGACGACTGTCCCCGAGGCGAAGGAAACTGGCACAGAAGAGGCCACGGAATAAAGCAGCTTTTGAAGATACATTTTTCTATTTTTATATGTTTGCATGTTAAATTAAATTTCTACAAGACTTCTACAAGACGTTCATGGCTCGTGTTGGGCCACATCGATAGCAGAGATGGCATTATGTGCGGGTACACAAGAGTACAAATGCGTACATTCGAGTACATATATGACTTTCGTACAAGTATACAAAGCGAACGAATTCCAACTTCCAGCACGAGGATTCCAACATTGAGGGAGAAGAAGCACTGGGAACGAAAACGAAATATCTGGGCCGCTCGGATCAACCAACCTTCGGTAAGGTACCCTTGGTTTCCATTTCCGCAATTCCACGTTTCGTGAAGTGCTCGGAAGCTTGACCAGAAATGAGATCATCGCAAGAACGAACTCTGAATTCAGGACGAAAGTAAAATGCAGGATTGCAGCGATGTTGAAAGCGTGATTAGGATCGGTCTGCGGTCAGCAGTTCGTGTATACGGGTCGTCTGTTGTATTATGATACAAGTTTGCAACGCAATTTGCTACAAACGCGTGTTTCCCGCAAGTGACTTGCGTTTGTCATAGTTTAGTGCTCTCGATTTAGGAATATATTAAAGGTAAAAAATGTAATGTATATATTGTGTAAAAACTGTATGGTGTCATTGGATACCCTTTGTAATAAACTGGATTTAATAAAATGAGGTAATATGTATTTTTTGCGGGCGGCCTTTCTGCCCAGCCGAATATTACTCACAAAAACCCTTGTTTAGGAATTAGGATGTGAGAAATGAAAGAAAGCCAAGCAGTAAATTTGGCAGTCTTATAAAGGTCAAATATGTATACTCTCAGCAGGATGGTTGGAATGCGGCGAAATATTATCTTGTGCAAACATGCAATGGCATGTTTCTTATTGAAATAAGGCGACATATTCCTCTCATGACGTATAAAGTACGGATCTTGATCTTTCCTTGCTGCATCCCATACCACAAATCTGAAATCTCGTGCATATTTATCAATTAAAGTTCTATCTGAGCCAAAATAAAGTAAGTATACGTAATTCTTCTATTCATTAATATTTTGAATATGACAAACCAGTTATTACTTGGATTTTATATGTGTATTGACATTACGAAATATATATTCATACGGACTGAATTCGACACAATTCATATCAATTCCATACTACAAAGAACATTACCTCAGTCACAATATAGCTGAGAACAAGTATATAGAAGTACACGTATATATCTTCAATCAGATATCGTGTGAATATGACAAACCATGCAGTTATTACTTGGATTTTACACGTGTTTTGATGTTACGAATGCCATATGGATTGAATTCGATACGGGTTCATATGAATTCCATCAAAGAATATTACCTCACGATATAGCTGAGTAGATATATAACTTTCATATTCTTTCATTGACTGAATATAAGAAAACGTTTTTAATTTTGTTTAACTGAATAGTCCGTTGACTTGCAATGAATATGGGCAGCAAATCCACTGAAGCGGCAAATCCTGAGTATATGGTCAAATTAAGGCCTATGCACACAGACCAGACGCGTTGCGGCAACGCGTCGCGAATTTTCAGTTTTCAGAAGCACATAAATTAATATCTGGAAGCAAAATTTGGTATCTATCGACGCCAGAGCAGTCAAAATGTATAATCGCTATGTAGTCTACAAGAATATTATGTTAGGTTAAAATTTATTTGCTTTTGCAAAATCAATGGCGGCGCGTTGCCAAATCGCGTCCGGTCTGTTTGGGCCTTTAGTCGTTTTCCGGCGAACTCGACCATGGTCGAATTAGTCGTTTTCCGGCGAACTCGACCATGGTCGAATTAGTCGTTTTCCGGCGAACTAACAGCGTACCCTAAATAGTACCCTAACAGCGTTGTTATAGAAGCCACATGTGATTGGTCTGTAAATATTGACAACGGCCTAGTGAATGGCGTTGTCTTTATTGATCTAAAAAAAGCTTTCGACACAATTGACCATGAAATCATTCTTTTAAAACTTAAAAATTATGGCATCGACGAAAATAGTTTAACCTGGTTCCATTCCTATCTTACCGCGATCGAACTCAAAAATGTAGAGTCGGTGATCAATTGTCAAATTCTGTACCAGTCACATGTGGTGTCCCACAAGGTAGCAGCCTAGGACCCCTTCTATTTCTTATTTACATAAATGATCTACCAAATTCTCTGAACTATGCAACACCAAGGATGTTTGCTGATGACACAAGTCTCAGCTATGCATCCAATTCGCCTAATGATCTCCAAAATATCATCAACTCAGAATTGAAAAATCTAAATGAGTGGCCTGTTACAAATAAATTAAGCCTAAATATTGCCGTTAAAAAAGAGTTCATGATTATCGGATCTCGGCAAAGAATAAGCGATATAAACGAAGAAATTGATGTTAAACTAAATAGTAAGGTAATTAACAAGACAAATTCTGTTAAATCCTTAGGAGTACATATATAGACGGTCATCTAACTTGGTCAGTGCATATTGACAATCTTTGTAAAAAGATAGCCTCCGCAATAGGAGCATTAAAACGCATTATAACTTATATTCCAATGAGTACGGCTGTCCAGATTTACCATGCACTAATACAACCTCATTTTGACTATTGCTGCTCGGTCTGGGACGAACTTAGTGAAACGTTAAAAATAAATTACAAAAACTACAGAATCGAGCAGTTAGAGTCATTACGAGGACTGAGCTATGACACCAGCGCGGGTGCATTACTCGATGCTTTATATCTGGACAACCTCTCACTTAGAGGAAAAAAGTTAAAAATTAACTTGATGTTTAAAACTCTAAAAGGTAATACTCCTAGCTATCTACAGAGATTTTTTTCAACTCGCAATTAACACTACGATCTCAGAAATTCTGAAATGAAGTTGAATCTTCCTAAACCACGTACCAATTTTTTAAAGCGAAGCTTCCACTATAGTGGAGCATTGCTGTGGAACAGCCTTCCCGAAAATATACGAAAATCACAATCATTTTCACAGTTTCGGAGGGCTGTAAATGTGTACTATAATACTTAATCTGAGCTCCCGCACGGCAATCTTGTAAATCAGTGAAATTTTAACTTGTAATATTGTGTAATTAGTCATATGTAATCATGTATTGTTAATCCTCTTATAAGTTGTTATACTGAAGATTTTACCGTGTTTTTAAATAAATTTGTTTGATTGATTGATTGATTGAACTCGACCATGGTCGAATTAGTCGTTTTCCGTTTACCTTTTTGCCCAGGGAAAATTACACGCTCTTCTTGACGCTATACTGACAAGTTACTTAATCCATACATGTGCTAAAAACGTTTGATTCTGTTGATTTATTTATTTGCTTACCTCACATTAACTACCCTTAATTTGAGTACGTCTGTATTAATTAATTGTACAAAGAAAAACCGGCTTTTATCCTTTTTTACAACAGAATTCTCTAACAAAAGTTCAAGTTTACGTGAGGCTTTATACAACTTTGAAAGACAGGCCGAAATGTTTTGTGTTCCAGATATCCAGACAATTCTGAATGACTTGAAGTATATTGCGGACCGTATACAAACAAAAACCTATTTCCGCAATAACGTATACACGCAGCTTGGATATTGTGGATACTCTTGGTCTAGTGATTCAGATTTAGAATTCGTGAACCCAGCTGATATGGTGTTGAAATTGTTTGCTGTGGCAGTAAACGAAGCAATCCAAAAGACGGTAGATCTGACACAGCTAGAAACCGGAAAGCAACTTCGTTCGAAACTTGACATTCGTGAACACGAATCATTGTCTCTGTATTTCTCAACAAAAATGGAAAAGGAAATGGAAATTGAAATGGAAATGGAAAAGGAAATGCTAGCGGAATCACGGGTTTTGACGTGGATGAAAGAAGCCAGGTCTCCTCTAGACATGGCGGTTCGTTTAAAGAGCAGTGCGCCGCAGTGGCTGGTGGTGAATATTATCCAGTATCAATTTGACATACGCTGGAACACACCATCGCTCATAACTGGCAAGAATGGAAAACCAGATCATTATACATTTTACCAATTCTGCGAAATGCAAAATTCAAGAAAGTTTCTAAAGTATAAACCATTTGTCTTGGATGAACGAGTTTATCTTGACTTTTATTAAGGAGAATGCTGACATCCAACGAGATGACGAGGACAGCCTAAAGGGAACTTTAGGGAAGCCAACTCTTTACTGGGCCGTTCTTGACGACACGGATTTCGAGGCTGGTGGAAATCTGAGGTTGAAGGGGATTGGTCGAACGCAAATATACATTGGCAAAGCAAACAATGGAATTCGAGGACGATGGACGAAGGACAGCGACAATCATTGTAAAATGATGAAGAAATGTTTGGACAACGTGAACGCCATGACGACCTACGACCCGTTGAGATTGGAAGGAATCCAGCTTGTGGATGCCAGGCTAGCCTTGGCTAAAGTTAGACGAGAGCGTTCTGCCCTATTTGTGATCAAAACCTTTGGCGATGATCTCGAAAAGGCAGAAATGGCCGTAAAGAAGGCGGAGGAAGCCTATTATGATGCAACAGATAGCGAAGAGGATGAGAGATTGGATTGTGAATGGGAAAAAGCAACAATCACTTTGGCTAATCTGAAGAAAAAATTGAAATCGGAGGAAAGAAAAAAACCTGAAAAGAAACTTGAAGAAGCTGAGAAAAAGCACCGAAAGGGAAAAAGAGATAATGCTTCTACGAACATTATACCACACGACGTGTATGATTGTACATGGGAGCCAAAGAACATGGCTTATGGAATGAACTTTTCTTAACAACCAGCCAGCGCTCTTGGGAGTGAATGGTTGAACTGGACATTATTTCTGCTCATAACACTGAATGGTACACAATTACAAATAACAGGTTTGTTCACAAGCTTGATACAGGATGTGTTCGGTCAGTTTGGACTGCTTACTCCATGTTTCTTCAGCTTAACAAGTTCAGGACAAGCGTTTAGAGGGTCGAGAGCAATATCACCAGCCTTGTTAAAAGATTAATCTGACTTGGCAACACAAGATTGTAACAATATTCTATCATGTATCATGTTTGTGCCAGACCCATTGGAACAGGCTTCAGACAAGTCTTCATGGTGATTCATTTTGAAAGTTTGTTACTGCTTTTTAGCAAGTTGTCCAAACTCAACAACAGCTTCGCCTTGGCAGAGGCAGTGCGAACACAACTTGTTTCTAGGTTTGTTACAAAATGTCATGTTTTACGCATGCATGCTGCTTCATTTAGGATTGCTCAAAAACTGAATTCTCCTGTTTCGCTTAGTCTGAGCAAACGCTCAGTCATAATCATTTATAAAAACTGCGAACCATAATCAAATATACTGTCTCCGATCGATATGCTCGTTTGTTGAATGCTCAGGTTTGAATTTCAAATATTAATTTGTTCCGGCTGACAATTATTTTAGATTGTAAAATTGACGCATTTTAAACCGCGCATTTTGAGCTGATTTCGTTAGGCGCAATGCGCTTTGCTTTTCAATTTCGCTCCGTCTTGAGCAAAGGATCTTCCTTAGCAAAGGAAAGTGTTTGGAATTTTTGCATTAGCAGTAATGCACTTGGGTTATGTGGTAACTACAGTAAGTGATGGTAACTCTAGCTGGTATATTTAATAGTTTGCACAATGCCAGATGATTTTACTTGTCAGTAGAAGAATACAGCCAATATAGTGGGTAGCAAATACAAACTTCTGTAAGTGCCATTTGTTAATTATGTGCGGGCACACAAGGGTACAAATGCGTACATTCGAGTACATATATGACTTTCGTACAAGTATACAAAACGAACGAATTCCGATTTCCAGCACGCGGATTCCAACATTAAGGGAGAAGAAGCACTGGGAACGAGAACGAAATATGCGGGCCGCTCGGATCAACCAACCTCCGGTAAGGTACCCTTGGTTTCCATTTCCGCAATTCCACGTTTCGTGAAGTGCTTGGAAGCTCGAGCAGGAATGAGATCATAGCAAGAACGAACTCTGAATTCAGGACGAAAGTAAAATGCAGGATTGCAGCGATGTTGAAAGCGTGATTAGGATCCTCTGCGGTCAGCAGTTCATGTATACGCGTCGTCTGTTGCATTATGATACAAGTTTGTAACGCAATTTGCTACAAACGCGTGTTTTCCGCAAGTGACTTGCGTTTGCCATAGTTTAGTGCTCTCGACTATAATTTAGGAATATATTAAAGGTAAAAAATGTAAATAAAGTATATATTGTGCAAAAACTGTATGGTGTCATTGGATATACCCTTTGTAATAAACTGGATTTAATAGATTTGGGTAATATATGTATTTTTTGCGGGTGGCCTTTCTGCCCAGATGAATATTACTCACAAAAACCACCGTTTAGGATGTTAAAATATTCAGTTTCATTTTCTTTGAAAGATGATACATCTGGAATTCATTTGTTACAGGTTTTCTATAAACAAATGTGATAGAAACCTGCTATGCAGATACCGTACAAAAGGTACAAGGATTTTTGTTTTCAGGTTTATAATTTGGTATACTAATCGTTACTAAAAGTTTAGATAATCCTAAATACGTATGAGTGGGATCATTATAATATCACAGAGAGTTGAATCAAAGAAAAAATACTTGTGTAAAATGAAAGAAAGCCAAGCAGTAAATTTGGCAGTCTCAGTGAAAGTCAAATATGCATATTCTTAGCAGGATGATTGGAATGCGGAAAAATAAAAGTCTTGTGCAAACATGCAGCTGTGGCGTCATTTATCTTATTGAAATAAGTCGACATGTTCCTCTCATGATTTTCATGTGATAAAGTAGGGATCCTGATTTTCACTGGCTATATTCTATACCACAAATCTCGCTCATATTCATCCTTATAGTTCTACTGAACTAAAATAAAGTAAGTACACGTAACTCTTCTATTCATTAATATTTTGAATATGACAAACCAGTTATTACTTGGTTTTTATATGTGTATTGACATTACGAAATATATATTCATATACGGACTGAATTCGATACGGTTCATATCAATTCCTTCCTGCAAATAACATTACCCCAGTCACGATATAGCTGAGAACAAGTATATAGAAGTACACGTATAAATCTTCATTCACATATCGTCTGAATATGACAAACCAGTTATTATTGGATTTTACATCTGTTTTGATATTATTACGAATGCCATACGGACTGAATTCGATACGGGTTCATATCAATTCCATGAAAGAATATTCACTTCACGATTTAGCTGAGTAGAAATATAGCCTACTTTCAGAATATTCTTTAATTGACTGAATATAAGAAAACGTTTTACGGTTTCCCCTCTTTAAAGGCCTGTCACACGATCGAATTTTGTTTGAAATAGTCTGTTGACTAGCAATGAATATGGGCAGCAAATCCACTAAAGCCAAATCCTGAGTATTGCTTTCCCGATAATACCCAACATGAATTGGATCCAACAAAATTGGATCGTGTGAACAGACCTTTTAAAGCAACACGCCAGTTAATATTTGGCTTTTTTGGATCTATTGCATAACCGGTTGCTATAGACTGCATAAAAACGATCAATTTCATGAAAACAATAAAAAATTAGTTTTCTAGAACGAGAATTTGAGTTTTTGTCTGTCCACGTAAATATACATTATTTTTAGAGGGCTTCCGCAGCTTGTGCATTATCATTGTGCCATCATCTGCTTGGTTGGAAGAAATTCGTCATTGCATGGAAGAAATTCCTCTTTTTACTTAGGGGGGGGGGTGGTGGTTGGTTAATATCAAACAAAATTTTCAAATTTAAACTACAGAGATCCATATGTATGCTAAAAACGTTTGATTCTGTTGATTTATTTATTTGCTTACCTCATATTAATTACCCCTCAATTTTGAGTACGTCTGTATTAATTAATTTTACATAGAAAAACAGGCTTTTATCCTTTTTTACAACAGAATTCTCTAAAAGATTGAGGTCAAAATTTAAAAGCATAAAGACTAAAGTTCAAGTTTACGTGAGGCTTTACACAACTGGAAAGCAACGGCCGAAATATTTTGTTCAAACCAAATGAGTGCAAGAAAAAAACCTCCTATTCCAGATATCGAGTCAATTCTGGATGACTTGAAGTATATTGCGGACGGTATACAAGCAAACACTTATTTCTGCAAAAACGTATACAATCAGCTTGGCGATTGTGGTTACTCTTGGCCTTTTCGTTCAGATTTAGTGAACCCAGCTGATATGGTGTTGAAACTGTTTGCTGTGGCAGTAAACGAAGCAATCCAAAAGAAAGTAAATCTGACACAGCTAGAAACCGGAGAGCAACTTCGTTCGAAACTTGATATTCGTGAACACGAATCATTGTCTCTGTTTTTCTCATCAGATATTCTATATATGCAACATAAAATAGAATCGAAAATGGTAAAGAAAATGCCAGCGGAATCACGGGTATTAACGTGGATGAAAGAAGCCAGGTCTCCTCTAGACATGGCGGTTTGTTTAAAGAGAAGTGTGCCGCAGTGGCTGGTGGTGAATATTATCCAGTATCAATTTGACATACGTTGGAGCACACCATCGGACATCATTGGCGAGAATGGCAAACCAAATAATTATACATTTTACCAATTCTGCGAAATGCAAAACTCAAGAGAGTTTCTAAAGTATCGACCACGGCTAGCTCATGTGAAGGCAACACTGTACAAGGAACGTACAACGACAGACGTGTTTCTGGGTAACTTCTTAAAAGAAAAATTATGCCCCAATGTGTTTGTAAGAACTTCAGGAGGGTGGAAAAGCTGGAATGCATATGAAGAAAACTACTGCCCAGAGGATTTCGATGCTCGTTTGTCTTGGATGAACGAGTCTATCTTGACTTTTATTGAGGAGAATGCTGACATTCAACGCGATGACGAGGATAGTCTGGATCGAACTTTAGATAAACCAACTCTTTACTGGGCCGTTCTTGACGACACGGATTTCGAGGCTTGTGGAAACCTGAAATTGAAAGAGATTGGTCGAACGCAAGTATACGTTGGAAAAGCAAGCAATGGAATTCGAGGACGATGGACGAAGGACGGCGACAATCATTGTCATATGATAAAGAAATGTTTGGACAACGTGAACGCCATGACGACCTACGACCCGTTGAGATTGGAAGGAATCCAGCTGGTGGATGCCAGGCTAGCCTTAGCCAAAGTTAGACGAGAGCGTTCTGCCCTATTTGTGATCAAAACCTTTGGCGATGATGTTGAAAAGGCAGAAATAGCCGTAGACAAGGCGGAAGAAGCCTATGAAGAAGCAACAGATAGCGAAGAGGAAGAGAGGTTCTATGAAAGGGAAGAAGCAAAATCCACTTTGGATGAGCTGAAGAAAATATTGAAGGAAAGTACGAAATTAAAAGAAATTGAAAAAGCTAATTGGAAACTTGAAGACGCTGAGAAAATGCACCGAATTGGAAAAAGACATGATTCTACTGACAACATTATACCAAGCAGCGTGTACAAAATTAAATGGCAACCAAAGAACATGGCCTATGGAATGAACTTTTATTAACAACGGGCCAGCGCTCTTGGATGGAGTGAATGGTTGAACTGGACAATATTTCTGCTCATAACAATGGTACACAAGTAACAAGTTTGTTCACAAGCTTGATAGTTGATACAGGATGTGTTCGGTCAGTTCGGACTGTTGCTCCATGTTTCTTCAGCTTAACAAGTTCATGACAAGCGTTTAGAGGCTCGAGAGCAATATCACCAGCCTTGTTAAAAGATTAATCTGACTTGGCAACACAAGATTGTAACAATATTGTATCATGTATCATGTTTGTGCCAGACCCATTGGAACAGGCTTCAGACAAATCTGCATGGTGATTCATTTTGCAAGTTTGTTACACTGCTTTTTAGCAAGTTGTCCAAACTCTTCAACAGCTTGGCCCTGGCAGAGGCAGTGCGAACACAACTTGTTTGTAGGTTTGTTACAAAATGTCATGTTTTACGCGTGCAGGCTACTTCATTTAGGGTTGCTCAAAAACTGATTTCGCCTGTTTCGCTTAGACGTTCAGTCATAATCATTTATAAAAACTGCGAACCATAATCAAATATACTGTTTCCGATCGATTTCAATTTTGCTCCGTTTTGAGCAAAGGATCTTCCTTAGCAAAGGAAAGCGTTTGGGATTTTTGCATTTGGGTTATGTGGTAACTACAGTTAGTGATGGTAATACTGTAGCTGGTATGTACAATGCCAGATTATTTTACTCGTCAGTAGAAGAATACAGCCAATATAGTGGGTAGCAAATATAAACTTCTGTAAGTGCTATTTGTTAATTATGTGCGGCTACACAAGAGTACAAATGCGTACATTCGAGTACATATATGACTTCCGTACAAGTATACAAAGCGAAAGAATTCCGACTTCCAGCACGCGGATTCCAACATTGAGGGAGAAGAAGCACTGGGAACGAGAACGAAATATCCGGGCCGCTCGGATCAACCAACCTCCGGTAAGGTACCCTTGGTTTCCATTTCCACAGTTCCACGTTTCATGAAGTGCTCGGAAGCTTGACCAGGAATGAGATCATCGCAAGAACGAACTCTGAATTCAGGACGAAAGTAAAATGCAGGATTGCAGCGATGTTGAAAGCGTGATTAGGATCCTCTGCAGTCAGCAGTTCGTGTGTATCTGTATACGCGTCGTCTGTTGTATCATGATACAAGTTTGTAACGCAATTTGCTACAAACACGTGTTTCCCGCAAGTGACTTGCGTTTGCCATAGTTTAGTGCTTTCGATTATAATTTAGGAATATATTAAAGGTAAAAAATGTAATGTATATATTGTGTAAAAACTGTATTGTGTCATTGGAGTACCCTTTGTAATGAACTGGATTTAATAAAGATGGACAAAATATAGAATATATATACTGAGCCTGCGCAAACATTTTGTCCTGCTGGGGCCGGTTGTTCGAAAGGCGTTTAGCTTAAACGGTGGATAAGTTCAAAATGGAAAACAAAATTATCGATTTATTGAACAACTGAGCTGAAATATTTCGATGTAAATAGTTTAATTGTCAAAGGAAGTACATATTAAATGCATAAGATGCAAGTTCAGTCATTCACAAGATCTATGAGAGTATTTTTAAACTTTGGCTTATCCACCGTTTAAGCTAAACGCCTTTCGAACAACCGGCCCCTGGCAGCCTTTCTGTCTGACCGAATACTACGTACAAAATCTCGTTTTGGATGTTAAATTATTTTTTCTA